GGGAGGACTGGGACATACTTGGATCGCTGTGGGAGACACTGGGACATGCTGGGAGTGACACTGGGGGATACTGCTCTAAACTGGGGACATACTCGAGCCATTGCGGAGAAGACTGCGGACACTGGGGCATCCGGTGCATGACATTGGGATGAACTGGGAGGGACTGGGAATGGGCACAGGTGTATTGGGAGGGACTGCACTGTACTGGGAGGGATTGGAGGGGCACTGGGGTTGAACTGGGTTGTGCTTGGGATCAATTGGTCTGTACTGGGGTTGTACTGGTCTGTACTGGGGATGAACCGGGCTGTACTGGGAGGGACTGGAGAAGTTGAATGGGCTGTTCCCGCCTCTGCCGCACCCCATTTGCCGAGGCTTCTGCCCATCACTGCCCGTAGCCAATAAGCACTTGGTATAGGACGTGATAATGGCGCAACCTTTCCCCCCCCCAACTCCCGTCATGCCCCGCGGCCCCATTGGAGCAGGGACTACGACGCCCGTCATGCCCTGCGCTCCACAGAACCCCCAGGATCCGCCACCCCTTTGTCCCTTAAGTGTCCCCCAGACGCTCTAGGATCCCTCAGAGCCCCCTCAGCGCCCATTCGGGTCTCCCCAAAAGCGTTCCTGGACCCCCTGAGTGCTCCCAACCCCACAGATGCCCGGTACAGCCACTTCTGGAAATTCATCTCCTCTCATCCCCTGCACCCCCAGAGCCCCTCAGAACAGTCCCGCGCCTAAAACTCCCCCCGTGACCCGCACCCTAAAGAGCCCGGTTAGAGCTCCCAGACCTCCTCCCAAGGGCTCCCAAACCGTTTACGTTCCCCCCGAGGGCTTTAAGTCGCGGCTCGGATGGAAAAGTGTCCCCCAAGAGCCTTCCCGGACCCCCAAACATTGTGTAAGAGCCAATTCTGGGACTACAGCTCCCATCATGCTCCGCGGCGAACGTCCGGCGCTAGTCCAGCCGGGACTTCATCTCCCGTCATGCCCCGCGCCTCACCGAGAGCCATTGCAGCTGCGCCTTGAACTCCCATGATGCTCCACCGCCCTGTTAAACCGTAATAAACTCTCGCCTACAATTCCCGTCATCCCCCGCGCCTCAGAGAGCCCCGTTCGAGCCCCCCAAGGGCCCGCCCGGACCCCAAAGGGCCCCAAATTCCCCTCCCTGACCTCCAAGGGCCCCCCGGACCCCCAAGTGCTGCCCTGGACCCCGAACTGTCCCTCGGAATCCTTGAGTGCCCCTCCAAGTGCCCACCCGGCTCCTCCAAGTGTCCTCCTGACCCTCAAGTTGTCTCTGAATTCCCTCCCCAGACCCAAAACTGCCCCAAATGTGCCCCAGAAATGTCACCATGAACCCCAAAGTGGGCCCTTTTACCCTGTCTGTGATAATGATAAAAATGATGACAAAAGGATTTTTAATAGGACTAATTAGCATAAAGGAGGAGAAATCAATAGCCACACTGGTCAATGAATTAATGAAGGGAGCTGTGTTACTTAGAACCAATGACCAATAAATTCTTTGCTTGGTAAAAATACATAGATTTTAAAAAGTAAATATTAAAATTTGGTAATACAAATATAGAAAACCAGTGTTACAAGTAAATTAGAGTAAATAATTATAATTTATTAATTCATTACTTGTTTTTACAGGAAAATGCATAAATTTTTAATGCTTTGGGATGTCATTCTGTAAGAGACGGTCCAAAGATCCCTCATCTGCCTCACAGCTGCCATCAAGGACGGAGATTGAAGCCCTCCCCAAGGACTGAGACTGAGACCCTTCAAATTCTAACCCAGGGGTGCTGGCCTGACTGGAGTGGGATGTCTGCCATGGGAAGTGGGAGTTTCCCATAGGAACCAGTCCTGAAACAACGGGCCCCGCTCACTGCTGGCACCGGTTTGTGCTGTTCAGAACTGGACTGTCTGTACCTGTTCCTAATGGATTTATTCTCCACTGTGCACTCCATGTGCCATCCTGCTCCCCTCCCAGTGGTAGATTATAAAAGAGCCCTGAGTTAATCAAAGACTTTGAGATTCTCCCCAATGTGACCAGACGGATCTATTGGCCCGACCACGAGGATTTCATCTCTCTGTTGGCAGCTATTCCCCCCACCCAACCCTCCTTTCTCTTTCTCTCTGTTCTTTATCTCCTTTCTAATCCTTCTGTCGCATTTGCTGTGGGCACTCAATAAGAGGTGCATTTGATTTTGATTGAATGTCCCCTGCTGTGTGTCTTTAGGTACTGGAAAATAATGATAAATAAAGTACACATAGTTCATAGTATAAAACGTAGACACCAGCCCAGGGATGGGAGTGTGCCTCTGTCTGACCTCTGGCAGGCCAGAGAAAAAATGTTATAGAGAAGAAACAATAAACAACCTTGGAAACCTGAGCTGAAGAGTTCAGACTCCTTCTTCAAAACACCAGGCTGGGAAAAAAGGATTCTCGGCGTCATCCCTGACTGCAGGGAACCCGAGATTGGCCATCTGGGCTGTCTGGGTCAACATTAGAGTAAATCTGGAAGTTTTGCTCTAGCCTTATCAAGTCATGGTGCTCAGGTCTCATCTTTTTCCTGGGTGCTGTCAAATGCTAACCTGGTATTACTCCCTCTAGGGACTGATTCTTTTATCCCTCTGGTCATCAGGGACCTGTAATCTCTCATATTCCTTCTCACCTCTTCTTGATTAGGGTCCCAGTCAGGCTCCACTGAAGGCATTTTTTGGTCACCTGGGGCCCGGGCTGGTTTTCTCCCTCCTAAATTTTCATTCCTGCAGTTCTTATTAATCGAGTCTCTTTTGGGAAAATAGGATGTTAAAGATGGAGTTTAATTCTCCCCATGTATAAATATTAGGGCTAAAAATGGATCAATTTGATTTGCTATTCCTACCGGGTCTTCCACTAAATTTTACAATTCTTTCTAAAGTTTCTAACTTTGGATTCAGTCCAGCGAGCATTTGCATATCCAATCTCACTGGCCACCCTGCCCATGGGAACTTCTCTGAGGGGGAACAATTTTTCCACTTTAGCCTCTTTGGACCGGGTGTTACAACATCAGCTGTGGAGGCTGACTGGGTAACTTCACTCTTGGGCATGAGATTCTGAGATGTTGTTTGGCTTCTCATTTGTGCTGGGGGAGGCAGAGCAGGAACTTGCTGGTGAATTAGGGGTGCATGAGATGGCAGAGGTAAGGGGACGGTAGTGAAGGGTAAAGAGAGTAAGGAGAGGGTGGAGGGGAAGGTGGTGGAGGTATAACTGGGTTAGGAGGTGGTAAAGGAATGACACATGGGAGAGGAGGAGGAATTGGGTCCACAGCAAGAGGAATTGGAGGAAGGATTTGAGGTACTGCAAGGGTAGGAAGAGGTAAGTGGTCAAGGGGATCCCAGTTTTTGTTAGCCTTCCCAGCCTCTTCTTCTTCTTTTACGTTACTAGCTTGCTTTCCCTCTTTTAATTTATAGACTCTTATATTTTCCTGCTCTGAGGCGTACTTTAGCCAACAGGTGACGTTCTGTGTTGTGATGGGCCTTTTGCAGGAACTTGGGGCCAAAAAGAAGGTGCATCACCTTTGGACAGAGAGGCAGGTAACTCAGGAAATGTTTAAGGATGTTGTTAGGTCATGCAGAAAGAAAATTAGAGAGGTGAAAGCTGAAGGCTTAACCAGGCCACTTCTGTGAAGGATAACAGAAATGTTTCTATAAATACATTGATGGCAAAACGAGGTACAAGGACAATCTGCATTCAATATTAGGGGAGATATGGTTACCAAATATGAGGGAATGGCTGAGGTACTTAACACCTTCTTTGCCTCTGTTTTTGAGAATAAGTCAAATTGTCCTCAGGACAAGTGTTCTCCTGAGCTGGTGGATGGGCACAAGAAGCATAACAGCCCCCCTGTAATCCAGGAGGAAGCAGCTGGGGACCTGCTGAGCCACTCAGATGCTCACAGGTGTCTCTGGGAGCAGATGGGATCCATCCCAGGGGGATGAGGGAGCTGTGGATGAGCTCCCCAATCTGCTCTCCATCATTTACCATCAGTGCTGGCTCAGCAGGGAGGTCCCAGAGCACTGATGGTGCCAATGTGAGCCCATCCCCAAGAAGGGCTGGAAGGAGGAGCTGGGGAACTCCAGGCCTGTCAGCCTGACCTAGGTGCCCGGCAAGGTGTTGGAACAGATCACCTTGAGTGCCATCCCAGGGCACCCACAGGATGGCCGAGGGGTCAGAGCCAGCCAGCGTGGATTTCAATGTCTGCATTGATGATCTGCATGAGAGGATTGAGTCCAGCATCAGCAAATCTTCAGATGACACCAAGCTGGCTGTGAGTGTGGATCTGCTGGAGGGTAGGAGGGCTCTGTACAGGGTCCTGGACAGGCTGGATCCAGGGCCCAAATACAACAAGGTGAGGTTGAACAAGACCAAATGCTGGGTCCTGCACTTTGGCCACAACAACCCCTGGAGTGCTTCAGGCTGGGGACAGAGTGGCTGGAGAGCAGCCAGGCAGAAAGGGACCTGCAGAGGCTGATGGACAGCAGGCTGGACATGAGCCAGCAGTGTGCCCAGGTGGCCAAGCAGGCCAATGGCTCCTGGCCTGGATCAAGAATGGTGTGGCCAGCAAGACCAGTCCTGATCTGCCCCAGCTCTGCACACAGACATTGCTGCTGCAGTTCCAGAGAAGGGAAAAAAAGGGGCTCTCTGGTGAAAACTCTTGCTGGGCGATGCATAAGTTTATTGAAAGCCACTGAGAGTAGAGCTCCTCATTGACACAATCTGGGGCCACAGCCAGATACAAGAAACAAGAAATGGCACAAACAATGGTTCTATTTTGTGAACAAGATTAATAGACTAAAACAAAGGTAAAAAACACCAACAGCCCAAAAAAAAAAAAAAAAGGAATTATTGCCTATTACTCATATTACAATGACTTGAAAAAATTGGCAAGTAGTTTAATGTTTCTGAAAGTGTTCAGTCATCAGTGTCCACACTGCAGCCTTGAGCTCCTGGTTCCTCAGGCTGTAGATGAGGGGGTTCAGGGCTAGAGGCACCACTGAGTACAGAACTGACAGGGCCAGATCCAGGGATGGGGAGGAGAGGGAGGGGGGCTTCAGGTGGGCAAAACAGCCAGTGCTGAGAAACAGAGAGACCACAGCCAGGTGAGGGAGGCAGGTGGAAAAGGCTTTGTGCCGTCCCTGCTCAGAGGGGATCCTCAGCACGGCCCTGAAGATCTGCACATAGGAGAAAACAATGAACACAAAACAACCAAATGCTAAACAGGCACTAGCAGCAAGAAGCCCAAGTTCCCTGAGGTAGGATTTGGAGCAGGAGAGTTTAAGGATCTGTGGGATTTCACAGAAGAACTGGCCCAGGGCATTTCCATGGCACAGGGGCAGGGAAAATGTATTGGCCGTGTGCATGAGAGCACTGAGAAAGGCACTGGCCCAGGCAGCTGCTGCCATGTGGGCACAAGCTCTGCTGCCCAGGAGGGTCCCGTAGTGCAGGGGTTTGCAGATGGACATGTAGCGGTCGTAGCACATGACGGTCAGGATGAAACACTCTACTGAGATAAACAACATCAAGAAAAACACCTGTGCAGCACATCCTGCATAGGAGATATTCCTGGTGTGCCAGAGGGAATTGTGCATGGCTTTGGGGACAGTGGTGCAGATGGAGCCCAGGTCAGTGAGGGCCAGGTTGAGCAGGAAGAAGAACATGGGCGTGTGCAGGTGGTGGCCGCAGGCTATGGCGCTAATGATGAGGCCGTTGCCCAGAAGGGCAGCCAGGGAGATACCCAGCAAGAGGCAGAAGTGCAGGAGTTGCAGCTGCTGCGTGTCTGCCAATGCCAGCAGGAGGGAGTGCGTGATGGAGCTGCTGTTGGACATTGCTTCACTGTGGCATGGTGGACTGTTGAAAGAAGGTGTTGACAGGTTGGGATAGATTTCCTTGAGTCAGTCCTATGCTATTTTATTAGGAATCCCCTCAAAACCATTGATCTTGTTTTGAAGGAAATTTGCTAAATTTCTTTTATTTTTGATTCGAGGTTTCTGTTCCTTTTGAGTTGCTGCTTCAGCATTGCTCTCAGCCTGAACAAAGGAATGCCAGAGGGAAAACTGGACTGCCTGTACCCCAGAGCAGTCAGACCTTCTAGAACTACAGAGGTGCCCTTTGCTCATTTCATCTCCCTCTAGTTCAGGGCGATCATACTTTAAACATACTTTAAAAATAAAGTGGACTTTTTGTAGGCTGTAGTTTAAAATTCAGCATCTCTAAATTTTTCCACCTTCCCCTATGCTGCTGGACAGGGAGGAACACCAAGGGTTGATCTGGCTCTCTGCTGCCTGGAGTTGTGCCTACTGGGAGCTGTTTCTCTCTATCCAAGCCTTCTCCCTGCCAGTGCTGCCAGAGCCCAGCCCGGCCCTGGGGGCTCAGCTCTGCCCTGCAGACCCCTCCCAGCACAGGGCACTGCCCAGGGGCATCTCCCTGGCAGCAGGGCCTTAAGGGCAGGCCAGACAAACAGAGATGCTGCAAGCCAAGGTGCTGCTGCTGCTGTCTGTAGGGAGAGGAGGCTGAGGAGGACCTGTCTGAGGGAGATCTGAGGCCCATCTGCTGATGCCCAGGGTAATAGTGCAGGAGTCTCAGTGACACAGACAAAGCTGACAGCCCCTTTCCCTTTCCTTTAGGAGAAAGCTGAGAGCAGCTCTGGCCATGCAGCACCATCTCCACAGCAGGAGAAATCTGCCCTGATGGGGGTGGCTCCTTCCACCTCCAACTTCTCCCCTGCAGCGTCCATGGGGAGCTGCCAGGCAGACTGAGAGCTGCCCCTGGCAGGTGGCACATGCCCTGGGCTGGCCTAGAGCCCTGAGGGCTGCAGGAGCTGCTCTGCAGGACAGCCCTGGGCAGCCCTGGCTGCAGCCACAGCTCAGCCCCTGCAGCCCTCCCTGGCAGCAGGAACCGTCCTGCCCTGTCCCTCTGACAGTGCCCAGGGCAGCCCCGCTCTGCAGCACATCCTCCTCCTCCTCTTCCTGTGCCACAGAGAAACTGGGAGAGTCCTCCTGACACATCTCCCAGGCTGTGGGGTGTGCTGGCTTCAGGAGATCCCTCCAGGAGCACAAGGGACATTGCCCTGGACCCACACACTCACCATGCACAGGGCTGTGAAGATGTTTCCCCAAGTGAAGTCTCAGCTCAATGTCTTCCCAATCCTGATTGCCTTCAGCCTGTCTCTGCCTGGCTCCTGTCCCCTCAGTGCCTGCAGGCAGAGCCCTCAGCCCAGCTGGGCTGGGAGAGGAGCTGGCCCTGGGAAGAGCTGTTCCTTTAAAGTTCAGCAGCACAGACACAGCACAAGGACTTTAATGAGCCTCTTGGGACTTTGGTGTTGTTTACATCAGACTCAGTCCCTGAGAGAGTCTTCATAAAACTTCTCAGAAACTCATACCTAAATTGAAACTCTGAAGTTTCTTGAAATTTTAATAGTTCCCACTGAGGGACACAACGGAGAAAATGTCCCCAGGTTCCAGGTAGAGCAGAACACTGCAGGCAGTGATGACAGTTCGGGACAAACAAGGCCAAGCTGTCTCTGGTGCGGAGCACACCTGGATGTGTTTGAGGAATGCAAAGGGCCAAGGCCTGAGCCCCAGACCCTGGCCAGGCAGATCCTGTCCCTCCCTCCTTGCTCAGGGCTCTTCCCGGGATGGGCACTGGCGTGTGGGGAAGTGCAATGCCAAGGGCAGGAGCATGGGGCGGCCCCTGCCAGGCTGCTGAGCAGGGACAAGGAGGCGATGAGGCCCCAGGCCTGCAAGGGTCACTTGTCTCCTGCTCCTGCCTCAGGCCCAGGGCCAGCAGCCATGGCCAAAGTGCTGCCCAAGTTGGCTCTGGCAGGGCTGTCTTGCAGCTGCTGCCCATCCCTGTGCAGCCCAGGCTGTCCCACGGTGTCCCTGCCCTGCGCCTCTGTCCCTGCAGGCTGTCGGCATCCCCCGGCTGCCCCACCTGGCTGGGCCCTTCCTTTGCTGACAGCTCTGCCTCCTGCCTGCCTCTGCCTGCCCACACAAAGCCTTGGCCTTGATACCAAAAGGTTTAATTCAATTCAATACCAAAAGCTTAATTCAAAAGGGTTAATCCAATTTTTACTGTGCCTATGAACTTTCAGCACAGGAACAAGGCATGCAGGGCCTGCTTTCTCAGCAAGGATGGTTGGAGGAGAAGAAGACATCTGGCTCAAGAATGCAGTCATAGAAAACAGAAAGTCTGAAACTGGAAACTTGGGGTGGGTTTCAGGGTAATTGGTGAATTGTAATACACATTTAGTGACGCTGGTAGAATTACATGTCCACATAAGGTTAGGAGTTATCCCTCCCTAGACCTCAGGCCTGAATAAATGATACCCTCTTAAATAGCAAATTAGTGTTAAGGAGAATGATTCTGATATTTTGGAGATCTGGTGATGGTGGGGCCTCACAGAACCAAGCAGCCAGCTGTGACGCTGTGCAAACTCATGGAGCAAAGGGTCCATTGTGACAGAGTGGAACCCCCTGGAACCAAAATCCATTTTGGCACATTGGGGCTACATTGAACCAATGGCCCATTGTGATACTGCGGATCCAAGGAGATCATTGTGACCCTGAGAAACCTCTTGGAACCAAGGGGCATTGTGACACAGCAAGGCCTCGTGGAACCATGGGTCCATTGTGACACTGCAGAACCTCATGAAGCCAAGGTGACCATGCTCTACTGCGGAAACTCATGGAACACAGGGGCCATGGTGACACTGCAGAACCAAGGAGACTGTTGGCAGTATGAACATTCATGGATCCAGGAGTCCATTGTGACACAGCAAGGCCTCATGGAACCAAGGGTCCGTTGTTAAACTGTGTGGCCTCATGGAACCAAAGGTCCATTGTGACACAGCAGGGTCTCATGGAACCATGGAGGCCATTTTTACACTTTGAGGTCTTGTGGAAACAAAGGGCCATTGTGGCACTTGGGAGCCTTGTGGAGCCAAGGGGACCATAGTGACACTGTGGGGCTCAGTGAAACCAATGGCCTGTTGTGACACTGCAAGGCATTATGGAATTATGGAGACAATAGTGACTCCAAACGCCTCACTGAACCAAGGGGCCACTGTGACACTAGAAGGCCTCATGGAAACAAGGAACTGTTGGGACACTCTGGAGTCTTGGCAGGCCAAGGGGCAGTTGTTACTCTGTGTGGCACCATGGAACCAAGGAGTCCATTGTGACACTTCAGGGCCCCATGGAACTAAAGATTCATGGGGTGGGACCCCATGGAACCAAAGGTTCATGGTGACATTGCAGAGCCTCATGGAATCCTGGAGGACATTATGACACTTTGAGGCCTTGTTGAATCAAGGGGCTCTGCAGGGCCTCATGGAACCAAGGAGACCCTTCTGACATTGTGAGTCCCCATGGAATCAAGGGTCTGTTGTGACACTGTGGTAGCAAGGAGACCCCTGTGACACTGCAAGGCCTCATGGAAGCAAGGGACCATTGTGACACTGTGGGCCCCTTGGAAACAGGAGGCCAGAGTGACACATCTGGGCCTCATGGAACCAAGGATCCAATATGATACCAGCTTTGTGACCCTGCAGGGCCCCATGGAAACAGTAGGCCAATGTGAAACTGTGGGGCCCCATGGATCCAAGGGAACAGGTAATAGCTCTGGTTGGCCTGGCCTGACTGGTCCTACTGCTCTTGGCTTGTTGAGGGTCTCTTCTCCTATACCCTGAAATACTGGGGCTCTGGGCTTTCCTTCAAATGGAAAAGAACTGCCCGTCTCATTCAAGCATCCATGGTCAAAATGGTATTTCCTCTCCAAAATTCCCAATATCCAGGGATTGCTCCCAGACAAAAGCTGCCATTGCCAATGAGTCTGGATGGTCTTGTCTTCCTGAGAGCTGGGTCTCACTTGCCTTCAAACACTGGGGCTCTGTGCTTTCCTTCGTACAGAAAAGAACTATCCCTCCTGCACAGGCACCCATGGCCAAAACTGGTACTTTTCCTCCAAAATTCCTATATGCAAGGGTTTTTTCTCCCAGACAAGAGCTCCCAGGACAGACAGCTCTGGCTGGCCTTGACCTCTGGTGGTTGCCTCTATTCTGCCCTGAAACATTGGGGCTCGGTGCTTTCCTACCTAAGGAAAAAGAACCATCCTTCTCCTCCAGGTGCTCATGGTTGAAAATGGAATTCCACCGCCAAAAGCCCTATATCCAAAGATTGCTCCTACACAAAAGCTGCCATTACAGACAGGTCTGGATGGCCCTGGTCTCTGGTGACTGCAGTTTATCAGCCCCTGAAACACTGGGTCTCTGTGCTTTCCTTCCTATGGAAAAGAGGAAAAGAATTTTCTTATTCCTCCATGGCCAAAATTGCTACTCCTTCTAAAATGTTCACTATATGCAGGGTTTCTCCCAGACTAAAGCTGCCAGCTCTGGCTGGTGTTGTGGACTCTGATGGCCACCTGTCATCTACCCCTGAAACACTGGGGCTCTCTGCCTTCCTTGTGATGGAAATAGAACAGTCTT